GTGTCTCTCTGGAGACTAAGGTGTATCTGATACAGGCCATGGTCTTTGCAATCCCTTGTTATGCATCAGAGAGTTGGACAATGACTAGGGAGGATAGAAGGAGAATTGATCCCTTTGAGGTATGGTGCTGGAGAAGAGTATTGAATGTGCCATGGACTGCCAAGAAAACCAATAGATTAATCCTGTAGAGGGTTAAACCAGGCTACTCCTTGGAGGCAAGAATTCTGGGGCTTCGTCTGACATACTTTGGACATATTGTAAGGAGAGACAGGTCCTTGGAGACGGACAGTGCAGGAGGGGAAGACCCTCTATGAAGTGGATTGATTCAGTGATGGGGGTAATCAGGATGGGTGTGTCAGAGTCAATGCGATTGGCACAGGATAGAGCAGGGTTTAGGGCTGTTGTGCACAGGGTCGCTATGAGTCACAAGCGACTCGATGGCACATAACAACAACATATATGTCTGTGTATATATATATATACCTGTATGTGTGTATACACATAGACAAAATATATGTAATGTATATAAACATTGTGGTTGTGTACTGTTGAGTCAGAACCAACTCATAACTGGCCCTCCAGCAGGTTTTTAGAAGCAGTAAATCGCATGGGAGGAGACTGCCTATCCTTCTCCCTTAGAGCAGCTGATGGATTCAAACTGCATGCCTTTTAGATTGCAGCACAGCTTCCTGACACTAGGCAATGGAGGTAAAATCATGCTACCCATCTGGTCTGAAACTTATTCTTCTCACAGGATAATATGTTGGTGTCAAATGATGCATCTATGTCTTGTTCTCACAATGACTATACATTATTTCATCCTTGCCCGTTCTAAATAAAAGCCTAATACATGCTCCTAATAATCTGACATAGAAATAAGTGGGAAATGAGGGAGACAAGATGGGACCTGCACTTACCTCCCCATCAAACAGTTCAATCTCTCCTTCTTCAATCAGGATGGTGACCCGCTTTTTGCATTTCAGGGAGGGATAGCCGCATCCTTCATTGCTCACCAGGATGCGAAAGCTTCCAGGGTTGCTACCACAGTAATCCTGGGGAAAGAGAGGTGCCAGGAGAGAAACATTATCCCTTCTCCTTCTCAGATCAGAACACTGGCATCTTTCATCTCAGGCCTTTGGAGATGCTACAAGGCATGGCCTTGTCCACTGGGGCATGGGGAACAGGAGGGCAGGGATTGGCACAGATTAGCTCAGCTGTTACAAACTGAACCAAAATGGTGAAGACTGCAGTTGTATCACAAGACGTGAAGGGGTTGTTCTGACCACCTCCCTGTCCAGCGGAGCTGCAGATGGTCACATAAGCTATACAAGAGTGTCAGCAGAGAGAATGAGTGGAACTTGAATCCTGGGTCCCACCTGCCAGAGTACGCACACTGACGGAGGCTGGGTGTACCCAAAGAGGCTGATGTCTTTTCCTAACTCCAAATCAGTGCTAATTTGGCCTGATAGCAGCTCTGCTCACACCAATCCTGGTCAACAATGAGCTTTGGCCCTGTTCTTACAAGTCTCCAAGGGTGCTGGAAGGAAATGAACAAGCACTTTGAGTGTCAGACTCCCTGCCTCTTCAGGTATTTTTATAGGAGCTTGAAAATTATTCCAATAGACACCAGCCTGCAGTTTCTACAAAACGCAACATAGAAACCTCCCACCCCCCTTCCAGAGACAGACAGTGCCCTCCCGTGCCTCCCTTGTCTCACCTGCACCAGAACGTACTGGCACTCCCCAGGGAACATGTACTTGAGCCCATCAAAGGTGAGATAGTGGGCCATGCCCAGCACAGAGCAGGTTGCATCACAAACTTTGTCTGTGCAGATCCACTTCCGGTCACGACAAACACTAGGAAGAATAAAGGCAAGGATGACCAATCGGGTGCTCATGTGTGAGGAGGGCATCTGAGCACTGGGGATGAGGAGAGAGCAGAGAATATCCATTCCTCCAGGTGCTACCCAATCCCCCAGGAAGCCATCAAAGAGGAAAGGGACCTGCAGCCTTTGATGGCATGTGCTTACACACTTTCAGAGCATGGGCTCAAACATAAGAGCAAGGGGGAAACTGAGGCACATAGATGAGGAGGGGCTATTGAAGGTGGCCCAAATGGTCAGGGGAGAAGCCTGGATTCTCTTTAGATCACCTACTGTGGATTTTCTAAAACTCCCACTCTCCCTGGAAGCTGCCTGAGAGAGGCCACAAAGCCTCCATAGCAGAAATCCTTCCGTGGATAATGAGGAACAGCAAGAGGAAGAGTTCTGAGGCTGGAACAAAGTGCTCAGCCATGAACTTCTGCCAGGAGAAGTTCCTGTGTACATAGTTAGGTGTTTGGCAGCTTTGATGGCCTACTGGTAAAAAGCTGTGCTGTAACCCTGAAAGCATGTGGTTCGAGGACACCAGCCTATCCATGGGAGAAGGAAGGCAATCTCACATGCAATTAACTGCCTCTGAAAACCCATAAGTGGGTCATCTATGGGTCAGTTCCAACTCTACAGTACACAACAACAAGTTAGATGCTTAAATCTGTGATTTGCCAACTGCCACATGTCCCATCTCACTGCCACCATGTAACCCAGAGGACATCAGGACAACGACCCTTATGCATCAGAGGTGGTAAGTTTAGGCGTCAGGCCCTAAACATAACTAAGTCCCCTCATACCCCAGTCTTTCCTGACCCTCTCCACACTTTCCCTCTCTGGAAAGCTGAGAATAGCCCAGACATCAAAGGCAGAAATACTGAGCAAGGTGAGAGAGAAGGAAAGAGAAGAAAATGCTGTTTTCTGCACCAAGACCCCTGTGCCTACCACCATTACAAAAATACTTAGAATATACTTATGAGGCACTAGAAGGGGGTCTTTTTTCACTTAGTTACATGTGCAATGATTGATGTGGGACAAGGTCCTGGTTTCTTCTAAGCCTCAGCATCCTGTGCAAAAATTATCTCTAGGATAGCGTCCACGCAGGGTGAGTAAAAGTGACAATAATGTCCCCATTTTAGAGATGGAAAATCAGAATTAAGGGGAAAATAAAAAAGAGTAGCCAATTTCCACAGGATGCTGGAGGCAAGAACCAAAGGCCCAGTGGCCCTGACTGCCTCTCATTAGCTACTGCCCCACCTTTGGCCACAGGCCCCGCCCTCCGCTGTAGGCCCCGTCCCTTGGCTCTGTTGCCAGGGACACCTGTCCCTGCACCTCACCAAGTGTTGCAGTCCATCTTCACCGTTTCCCCTGGAGCGTACTCTTTGCCCTGATGGAAGCAGGGACATCTTTCCAGGGCCACACATTTGTTTTCATGTCGGACCTAAGGGAGAAGAACCCAAAAGTTGTGGGCACCATAGCAACTGATCTAAAGCTCCTCTGGTGATGTGTCACCCGCGGTTTGAGCCCACCAGTAAGGCCAGGCCAGGACCAGAATAGAGCCACGGGGGGCCAAGCACAGCCACAGGCCAGTCCCAGACAGGGAGACTATGCCCAGACACGGACACCCATCTCCACTGAAAACTCTGATTTCCCTGCCTCTCACCCTTCCTAAGGGTGTAGAACCTGCTAGAACTGGCCCCTCAGATGTCTCTGTTATTTATTGTTGGATGTCTCGGAGCCAGTTCTGACCCATCACAATCCCATGTGGCACAGCAGAAGGGCTGCGTGGGGCTATCTGCACTGTGGTGCACTGACAAAGCCTGACTGCCAGGCCTTTCTCCTGCACAGTTAGTGACATAACCTTTCACTTTACAGCCAAATGCTTAACCACTGCATCATCAAGAGTCTTTGTGCACAACCTATACCTAGGTTTTTTCATTAGAGAATTTCTCAAAATATTTAGAGACATTAGTACAGAAAATTATTTATCATTGCAGAAACACAATGACAACAACCAAATGTCCAACAGTAGAAAATTTGTTCAATCCATTAAGGAATCTCAGTGTGACAGCATCCTAGAGAGTTATTTTTTTTCTATAATTATATTTTATTAATTTTCATAAACATTTACAGAGATTTTTAGTTTCCATTCATTCATTGTTGCACTATTCTCTCTACCCTCCTCCCAGTTTGTTCTTGTCCAAATGCCACAGTGCTTGTCAAAGCCAGTTCTCATTAATCTTCTTTGTCAGTGTGTCCTTTGCCATTCCCTATC